TATCTTCTGTTATCATATTATAGATACTAGAAAATCTTAAAATCTTAAAAATAAAATAGAAAGATAAAGTGCATTTCAAGAAAATCAGAATCCTCTATTTTATAGTACTTTGCCATTTTCATAACTTATTTTTGTTACTGTGTTTTTAAAGAGATGAAAGATTTCCAAACAGACATTATAATCATCTTTACCATACCACAAAGAGTGATCTTTATGTTGGCTTTTTTTTGATAAATTATCCATTAACCATTGGGATAATCAGTGTTTTGTGACAGAATTGGAATTGTTTCTGTTTAAAAATAGTGTTCAATACATTATCTCAATAAAATTATCTCTTCCAGAAGGTGAAGCAGAAAACACAGAAAGTTAGTTGTTATATTGGGAACTGTAGTTCAGAATAGATGGGAATTGCAAGAAATTAAAAAGATGAGAAGTGTAAATGCAAATACATTTTCATGAAATGTTATCAAAGAAAGATAAACAAGAAACTGAAAGACCAAAAGCAATCCTAGTTAAGCTTATTTCTCTAGTAAAATAAAGTGTTTTGGTCCTGCTATTTCATAGAAACTATATAGTGCCATAAAGCTGTGCAAATAAATTTTAAATGTTAACACACTAGAAATTGTAATTTCTTGCTTTGACATGAACTATGGAAGGCTAAATATTAAAGATAGTGGAGAAGCTTGTCCTATACTCTTGAAATTCCTTGGAAACCTCTGTGCATATACAGGATTACCTAGTAAAATCCTTTCACCTGACTTCTACTGCCAGATATTTTTCCTGTAACTTCCAAAAAAAGAAACAAGTAGAAAGCATTCAGTGTTCTGTATTTTGGAAATCCAGTTTCTTAGCTACACAAATCGTTTTGTTAGTTAGACAGCTCTTTTAGAAAACGTGTTTGAAACAATGCTGAGCCAGTAGAAGTCTTACTGGATCGGTGAATAGAAAGACATACATACAAAGTTCAAAATAGGACAGGTGCTCCAGATTGTATATGCCACTACTATTGCAATATTATAAAAATTATGCAAAATGGGAGTTTAATTTCTTTACAAAACTTAAAAGCAATTTACTGACAGTCTTGTAAAAAGTTCCAAATAGTTAGAGGACAGGAAATAACATATGACTTCCATGTTGAAAAATAAGAACTGCATTCTGACAAAATACTAAAAAACAATAGTAGTATTGGGTTCCCTAGAAGAAGTGGAAAGGTAATCTGACATACTTTGTAGAAAATTTTATCTTGTTCAGTCAAGGATAAAGTATGAGACTTTTCATTTATTTAAATTTAAAATGTTTTACAAATACAGACCTGAGGCTTTTTATTCTCCTCTGCCAGAGAACACTGAGTGAAAAATTCTATGAATATTTTTCTGTTTTGGCTGGCATCTGGATGTACTTGCACTTGTTTCCCAAAGTGTTAATCTTACCCACAGGATTTCAAGTATGTCATAAACCAAAGACAGCTTCTCCATATAGTATATGATATAGCGTAACATTTCTGCCTGTTAGTGTGAGAAATTAGCTGCTGAAGAGTTAGTCATGAGACATCGATGTGGTCACAGGAAGAGTTAGTAAATCCATTGAAGGATTGCTTAATGTGAATATTTTAAAGGATTTTCCCACCTATGTTCTAAGATCCATATAGTTCCTTTGTTTTTCAAAAAAGATGAAAAAAATGGTAATGGAAAAAGTTGGTGAAAATTTGGAAAAAATTCTCTTAAAATCCTTTTCTAGAAGACATGTTATGCCTACCAGAAAAATGTTCTTTACTATTAAAAAAAGAATGGTAAGGACAGGATTAGTCCTTACTCTTCCATCAAACTATGAATATTAGTAAGCTCAGTCAGAGGGAAATAATAGGAATTTTTTTCCTTTGTTAGTGACAGGAATTGTTCTTTTCTGTTTTATTCAGCATTATACATTTTGGAGTTATCTACACTTTGTTTATCCTGCTATGTGTAACTAACTGGGTGATTTTGATGAGAATGTTTTCTGACTTCTGCCAAATGTCTCCAGTTTATGGGGGTAGTAAGCAATACAGCCAAGTATCTTCAAGCTACCTTAATTGGTATTTTATCTGCGTAAGTTTCCAAAGAACCATCCTGTTCCACAAAGCTGAACTAGGATACAAGTTTGCATGTTGTTCATGATGCTGCTGTAACTCTATCACGTTTCCTGTGTTCTCTTCCTCTGTAAGTTATTTACTTTGAAATTATAGTTTAGTTTATAGATTTTGTTCTAGAACATAACTTTTTTATTTTTCTTTGTGATTATTTATTTTATTGCAGTATACAAAATAGAAAAGTGTTTCATTAAATTGAAACCTGATGATGTTTTTTTATGAAGACCTTTGCTCAGAAAAAGGATTTTTTTTTTCTTTTCTTTTTTGAAGATAAAGATATGTTTTTCTTAGCTCTGGTGGCAATTGTGTATCATATAATCTTCCTGAGTCTGTAGAGTTGAAAATTTTACTCCTGCCACTGAGACATATTTCTGAAGAAAGGGGTGCAGAGATTCAAAGGTGTCTGTGAAGGTGACCTACTCTGACCCAAGCACATTGGTCTTGACTGAGCATTGGAACAGGTTGCCCAGAGAGATTGTGCAGTTTCCTTCCCTGGAGATAATTAAGAGCCATCTGGACACAATCCTGAATAATGTGCTCTAGGTGACCCTGCTTGACCAGGGAGGTTGGAGTACATGACCTCCGGTCGTCCCTTCCAATCTCAACCATTCTGTGATTCTGTAATACTTGCAGAAATTCATTTTACTAAATGTGTGATTTAGTGTTTTTAAGAGGTTAGTTTAGAGGGAAGTTATAGCTATTTAACTAATAGGTTCTAGGGTTCTACCCCAGCATAGCTTCAGTTCAGTTCATCAAATGATTACCTAGATTCCTCAAATTCTTCACTTTTAATGGAATGAATTCTGTTTGGTTCCTCTATACTGAATTATAACATGATTGCTTCATGCATTGTTTAACACTTGAGCTGTTTGCTGTGAAATCTTCCATAGAATACCCATACTTAAAATGTTGATTGAATGTTTTGGGAGATTTGTGTAGATCAGAACAGCTGCTGTCATATCAGATGCACAATATGGTAATTAATGATTGTATAATACTAAGTATATCTGAAAATAGTTGCAGGCATTAAAAGAATTTCCAGGGTTTTAAAATGTAGGTGATAAACTTTATAATTTTGTAGTAATATATTCATTCTACAATTTATTTTTTTTCTTTAAATTAGCAATGTGCTTGAGAGTGGCCTGGGTGTGGAAAACTAAATGGAACTCAAGGCAATACCGTATATATGTGGTCAACTTTGGATATACACAAAAATTTCTAAGTTAGAACATTAGTTTCCCTCTTTTTCTCCTATTTTACAGCTTCAGTAATTTAAATGAAGATGGTGCTTTGCCTGATTATCTTTTTCAAAGGATTCATAAATTCTTCAGAATCATGCACTAGTACAGTGCACTAATATTGAGATTGTAGCTCAGTGGGTAGCAGCTTTAACTTGCATGGATGATTAGTTTGCCTAGAGGACAGGGTGCAAATTAAAAGGAATTACTTCAAAAGATGATGATTTAATGTTCCTAATTCAGTTTGCAAATTTTTATTTTGAAATATTTTAATATATGTGTTAGAAAGACTTAATAGTGTGCATCATACAATAGGAACCATGGCAGTCATTGTTTTCTTTGCAAAAAAATAAAATAAAATTTAGTAAGTGCTTATTACAATCCTTGCAGTAGAAATACTCAGTTTTATTCCAGGTACTCAGTAATTAGACTTGAAGTTAATGAATATTCTATAGCTTGTCATTAGGCACTTATAAAATAGAATTAAAATCCTATTCTTAAATCATGGTTCTCAAACCAGTATTCAGCTAAGTGTGACGTTGCCTGCAGATTGCCTTGTCACTCTCTAGAGACACTAAAGATTGGGGACTGCCACTAGAAAACAAAGGGCTTTCGCTGTGGAGAAAAGGGTTGTATCCTTTATAACTTCCAGTTTCTCTTTTTCTTTGCTTAAGTTTCATTAAATTAATTCTACTTACATGTATGTGTCTCAGACTGTTGGTAAATTTGAAGAGTCGTGTTTCTGCTGTTCTCTTTTTAACCCTGTTATATGATTTATCTCTAAATATGCACCAGTCATCTTTCTATGCTAAAAAGCCAGGATCCCAGCCAATTTGGGGGGTTTGTTGGGGTTTTTTTTTAAGTTGTAATTCTTATTCAGCATTCTAAAAAATCAGCTGACAGATGTGCTAATGAAAATTCAATACATTGCAGGTTTTGTCTACATTTAAAAAGTGGGTATTATGAGCATCTGTAAAGTAACTTGTATACTTTTAGTTTTTCCACATTTACATCAGTGTTAAACATGAAGAATTGTGTTGTTATTCAAAATATAAATGTTACTGAAACACACTGAGCACAGACTGTGATGCAAATGCCTCTCAGTGTTTTGAAGAAACAGCAAGAGCCTTTGCAGCTGCTCTTTTCTGGAAAACAAACATTCTGCCACACAACAGAAAGGGCCTTCAGAACTGAAATAAACAAGTACTGAAATAAACAAATTTCTGTGTGATGTTTGGAAGATGTTTATGATAGAAGAACCGAATGAGAGGGATACTGAAGTCCTGCTACATTAAACAACTGCCAAGCTTACATTTTGTGACTCATGGCAAGGCATAGGGTGCAATGAGTATTTGCAAATTTTTCTCTTGTCTCTTGGAATGTTTTTCTGAGTGGATTTTTGTAAAAGAAATCATTTTGGGAAATCTGATGTTTTCAGGAATTCAGCAAGCTAAAACATTTGGTACGGGGAAAATATGTTTTTTATAGCATGACCATGGTTTTTGGTACTGTACTAGAACAGTTAAGTGTTTCTGCTGCTGTTAACTACTGTTCATTTTGCTCAGTACTTTGTATTCTGTAAAAGAAATATAGTCCATGAAAGCTGTGCCTTTTGGTTTCTTTTCTCCATTTTGCAGAATGCCCCAATGAAGTGTGGGGATTTCCCATGTGTCAGTACTTGAAGGACAAAGGCTGGTGCTGTGGTCGCAATGCTAGAATGTCAGCGTGTTTGGTATGATTCCTCTTCTTTTCTTTCTCCTACTGAGAGCTTTATCCAGATGTTACAGGATTCATTGTTTTTGGCTTCTAATCCTAAAGCCATGAGTTTAATCCAAGACTCTACAGAATAACATCATTAATGTTGTCAGCATGATGAATTATATCTAAAAAAAATAGTCTTGACCTTCCAGCTTTATATATTTTATTCTTGCTGAAGGCATGAAAAAATGAGTATTGACAGAAATGTATTTCAAGAGTGGACAGAAAGGCCAAACCTTTGTTGAAACCTAAACAAGGTAACCCCTCAGGGTAATAGTTCCTGGCCAAGGACTTCGGGTGTATTTGTAGGTAACTGTAGAAGGATTGCAATCAGTAACTCCCCTAACACCTTCATGATTCATAATATTGAATGTTCTGACTGTTTAAAACCTGGACAAACCTGCCTTTTCCAAAAACTAGAAAAGCCTTAAAATCCATGTGGTTTAAGAGACTGGAAACATCTTTTTAACTTTGCACCAAGAGACAAAGTGCTTTTAAAGACATGACCTCATCAAGACAGGATGATGAACTGCTGTCTAATTTGAAAAAACAGATAGGTACTGAACATTTCAACCACTGTTTCAGTTAGACTACTATTCCTTTCCTCTATTAATTTTTAATTTCTGGTATCAAGACAAATCACATCAGGTCCCGGCTAGCCTCTGCTGCTAGCTCTATGGCTCCGTTACAGAGAACAGTGTAGACTAAAGACAATTTAGGCTAATGAGTCAAGGTTTTGTAAACTTGAACTAAAAAATGCTATCAGGAGAAAGGATAGGAGGACAGTTGTTTAGTATTCGTAAGGCTTAAACGTGTTACTCTAGGCAAGGTACAAGAAAAAAAATTGTTCATTTTAGAGATGTTACTGTACAACTAATCACAAAAAGTACTTTGTAAAAGGGATTTGCATTTTCACTTTTTGTTGTCAGTGTCATACAATACCAATTCTTCCTCAGCTGACACATTAGCTATTTCCTTTCCCATTCCATTTCTTTTGGAACGAAAAATTTTGGGCTGTTTTTCAGCAATGGTAGGAAGATAAATTTTGTAAGCAAATGACTCCCAAGAGACAGTACTGATCGTGACATATATATCTATTTTAGATTTCACAGAAATAACAGAAATTTGGCAATTTAAAACTTCTTTGTTTAAACATTCACAAAAGGCAAAGACTTCTCCTGTGTCACTGGATACTTTTCCTATTATTATATTTGTAATTCTCGCTATGCATTTTTCATGACTAGGGTTTTCCTTGTCTTCTAAGAGGTACAAGGGAGACAGTGCAGTGCAGCTGGGCACCCATCTTCCTAGGGGTAATGGCTGGCTAGGAGAAAATGAGTCTGCTGTGCAATGATCATTAAAAAGTTAAAGTGCTAAAGTTAAAGTGCTGAAGGCCAAAGGTTCTGGATGAGAGTTTCAATTTCAGACCCCTGCAGTACATATTAGAATCCACATCCATTTTCTAAGTAGCAGCAGGTATATGCTGGTATGAAAGTTATAGCTTATACAGCAGAAGTCAGACCTGAGAGTCAGCCAAAGCCTAGAACAGAGGAACTGCAACTACTTGGACCGTGTTGAAGAACAGTCTAAAATACAAGATCAGTTCTAATGGTAGAAGAAGGAGAAGTGGGTGATTCAGACACAAGCAGTCTTATTTACTGTAGTGGAGTTTGGGTTCTAAAGGTGACAATGACCCGTAAGTGATGAGGCAAATTTGGTTTACTATCTAATATATTATAGTGTCAGATAATTTACTGAATTTTTGTCCTCATTTCTACTAAGATCTTTAATACTCAGTTGAAATTGTTATAAATGCAGTGTCTTTTCAAGTGTTGAAAAGTATTCCATGCTTCTAATTATTTGTCATTCTTCGGCATTATGGATCATAAAAATCAAGTACTTTCATACCTAAATCAGGATTTATGATATGAAGACTAGTAAAAGATAATGCACAGTACTTTAAACTGCAGTCTCTCTGAAGTTTTTCTCTACATGCAGAAGTTCAGAATTTATCTGAATACTAGGGACTAAAAGTATTTAAAGATATTGTACCTTTAACTTTAAAATAGTTGAATGTACAAAGTGAATTAATTATTTGTATTTTGGTATGAACAGACTCAAGAAAAATGCGTTTCTTTTTAACACTTCCACAGAAAGTAATCCTCTAAAATTCTTTTACAATACTAAGAAAAGCAAACAAATTTTACATGCATCTATTTCTATACAGTTAGTTGTCATTGCTTCTCCTATAAATAAACCAAAATAACAGGAGTGAGCTGATTATGAGTCCCTAAAGGTATTAACACATTAAAGCATGCAAGCTCGTGTTATGTCACACCATTAATCTTTTAAAATGTCATCTCCTCTGACTTTTACACAATGTGTTTATAAAATGTTCTGATAAAGAATAAACATATCAGCAATTTAATTCCTTTACACTTAAAGGCTTTGGAGCGAGTTGCAGTTGGCCAAATGGTAAGTAATATTGTTTATTTTAGCCATTCTAAGATAAAATGTGTTTTTCCTCCTTGAACACTCTTAATCCCTGGCCTTTTATTGAACTTCTGCATTTCCGGAATCTAAAATGCTAGTCTGCATACACTATTTTGAATCCTGATAGATAGCATGTGTCACTATGAAATCACATCTCTATTGCTATCATTGTACTTAGTGAATCTGTTTTCTTTTGACAATTAAGAGTTTAGAAAAAAAAGTGCAGCTTAAAACTTAAGGCATTAAACTATCCTTCCTGCGTTCTTTTGCTATCTTTCAACTCAGACATAAATTCACTACAAATGTCCTTCTGATATCCCTGGTTTGGATCACTCTGTCCCAGTGTTTTATCAACTAATGTAAAAATAGAAATTGTTATGACAAAAGCTTGAACCTGTTTGTTAGAAACATCATCATTCTCATTTTTAATCTTTGTATGCTTTTTCCCAGTGAATACGTTGAATTATTGTTGTGCAAGTTATCCTTTTGGGAGTGGTGGACACTAAGTGCAAATATTTAAAAGCCAGGGCTGAGATACCTCTTCTTTACATATGTAAGCCCACTGACCCTAGTAAATGCATTTTGCTGTGAATTCTTAGTTGGCAAGCATTAGCTATTTTTATACAGATAGATCTCTCATTCACAGAGATATGAAGTTTCCAGTGTAATCTCTTTTTATGAGCATTGTACTTTCTGCATGGTTCAGACTACAGTGTGTGGTGATTCACGTAGGGGATTACTCCTTTTGTCTTTAAAACAGCCTAGGTAAATTGTTATTTTCATTTTGTGTAGTAGAATTTGGATCATGATCAGTACTTTTTCACTCTGCCAACCTTTGAACTTTTACTTCAGAGTTTCAGTTTCTTATTTTTTTCTTGCATTCATGTTTTTGTTAGAATCTGACCCAAAATCTAATTTTAACTGGATGCAAGAACATTAGTAAATTGTCCTCTTCAACCTTTTATGACTGATTGTAAAGAATACAAGCCAATAAGTAATCAAGGAAGCCAATACTGTACTGTTACTCTGATCTTAATTTCAATGTCAATTTTAAATCCTTGCTGTGGTAAAATTTTTTGCAGCTGCCTACAAAATCATTGTTTTATCGAGCTGTTCTTCAGGTTATTATAGAAGAAATTCATGGTGTCACCAAAAGGTAAGAATCTCTGAGTTCACAGAACAGGAACCAAAGATCTGGTTCTCTTATACCTCTGTTACGTAGAGAAAGTATTTATCAGAAGGCAGAAGGGTGGAAGAATCAGTCTTATCAGACTGCATGTACATAGCGTTATTAAAATGCTGAATACATTAATTCATCCTAAATCCATATTACAAATGTATTGCTGTTCCTTTAGCCGTCACTGAATTAGGTACTCTTTCGTACTGGACATGTGAGTAAAACTTCACAAGAGAACTGAAAGCAAATTCACTAAAAAGTCAATACAATCCTGGGCTACCCTTCTGCGCAGAGATTTTGGCAGCTTTGATACTGCAGAAGACAAAAAGACATTTCCATCTGTCCTGAGAAAAAATGCTTAAAGCTCAATGGCCATTGTGGCTGTAAAGGGCTACTTACAGTGTCTACACTGACATGTGCTGCACCCTTATAGGATGGCATTTGGAGAGCTGTTTCTGAGGGCCTGTCATCTGAACTATACCCTTTTTTTGGAGTTGTAGTTGGATTAGATGTTATCTAATTGTGTGGAATGTATGCCCATTAGCACTAGGAGCACATTCAGAGACACACCTTCCAGTTTAATTTAAATTGAATTTGAGCTCTGATCCTATTCCACAGTATTAATAACACATTAGAGGTGGGGAAAACTAGAAAATTCATTTCAGAAGTATATTCCTGATCTAAAATAAGTGCTAATGCAGATAGCCCCAAATCTTTTGCTAAATGTAGAGCCAAACAGCTTACCTTTCAGAAGATCAAACTCCTGAAAGAAGAAATGCTTGTTCATTTTAAAATTATGTAAAATATCATACTTAAAATCATTGCTACTAAACTGTAAAGAAAAGAAGTGTGAGCTAGATCATAATATGTTTCATTTGTTAAAGGAAGTATAGCTTGGAAGAAGTGATTAAAATTATACTTCTGAAATAAAAGCAGTGGCTACCTTAGGAAGACTCTTCCAGCTTTATTACTGATCATAATGTTATATGGTGTAGAATATCTCTCTTCAGGTTCATTCAGATCAGCTGTCCTGGCTGTGTCCCCCCACATTTCTTGCACACCCCCAGCCTACTTTCTGGAGTGCAGAGGGAGAAACAGAGAAGTCCTTGATGCTGTGCAATCACTATTTGGCAGTAGCTGAAACATTGGTGTGTTACCAGCACTGTTTTAGTCACAAATCCAAAGCACAGCACTGTATGGGCTGCTGTGAAGTTAGCTCCATCCCAGCCAGACCCAGTCAGTTTCCTTTTACCTAATCACAGTAGCTTGTGATTAGGAGGCATAATCATATGAATAAACATGAACATAATACATAAACAACATAATCATGAATTGATTTTCAGACTGCATCAGCCCAAATGCTTAGGTTCATCTGAATATTAAATATGACCACAGAAATGATTCTCAGTGAGTAAGGATCCTTGCCAGCTAAACAGCATTAGAGATACCACTGAATGAAGTCTTTCTGTTGACCTCTTTATATAAGGAGAAAGGCAGTTTACTAAGAATAAAGAAGATAAAAATTTTTGAACTAAGATATTTCTATTCAGTATTTCACTGGGGGGAGGGGAGTCTATCTCCTCCTAAGTAATTCAGTAGCTGAAAATTCTGTAGCTGAAAATTTAACTCCTATGCTGCACAACTGGAAGAGGAAATACATTAGGACACAGTCAAGAAAGAGAATTCAGACTAACAAAAACTTTGCATGTTGTTTCTCCAAGATGTTTTAAACACAGAGAAAAGAACAAATGTAAGTGTCCTGTTAGGGTAAAGTTTTCTTTCTTTTTTTTTTTTAATACGATTTCTGAAACAACCGACATATTTGGCTGCCTTCAAAAGCAGGCCACTGAGTTGTAAACAGGAGAAAATTCTGACATCATTTACTGAAACAGAAATTGCAAACATAAGAACACAAGGTAACAAGAAAAAGTGAAATTTTACTCCAACTTGGCATTTGGTCATTCCAGTGGTTGATGGAAGATAAATAACAGCAGCATTATAGTGAATTATAAAAGTTTTATAGTAGTATAGAAGGAAATATCTGTCAGCAAAAATAAGAATTTTGTCATTCATGTGGGGAAATAAAAATATGAGGGGAGAAATTAAATGCAACCTTCAACTAATAATAACCATGCTACAATCATAGTACAATTGCACAGTTGCTGTAGCTAGAAATTTCTTCAAGTGCTAGATAGCTTGTTTTATTTTAAGTAGTAGGGATAAAAGAAAAATTGTTGCTAATTTGGCAGTAGTAGCCATCCAACTGACTTACTTCTCCTGAATTAAAAATTAAGTTAAAAATGTGTAAATGTCTCTTGTTGGATGTGTAAAAGCCTGCAAATCAATACTGTATTTGCAGTGATCGACATGTTGGAAAAACTTTCTCTAAATCATCCTCCTTCATAGATTATGTCAGAAAGTCTCTGAAAAAGCTGGAACTTGATGATTCAAAGGTGAGTCACTAAATAGAGGCTGCATAAAATTCTTATATTCATATAAGTTTTTGAAGTCAGCACCACAAAGCAGTGTTTAAGCCACTGAGTTGATTTAGTTTATATATTGCTGTATAAATATAAAGTATTCTTGGTTTTATTAATATTAATAGAGCCAATCCATACTTATATATTAAAAAAAAATAAAAATCAGAGTTGGGTTTTTTTAATGTTGGGTTCGTTGGGGTATTTTAATAGATTTCCATGTATAAATTCTTTAAAAAAATTTGTTTTAAAATTGCTTTATTCTTATGACTTTATATACAACCAATCCTTTTTTATACATGGTGCTCATGGTTGGAATTTTTTTAAGCCTTTCTGGTATTTCTGAAGTTAATCCTACAAAGTTCCTTTGAGGCAAAAAAAAAAAAAAATGTAATACACACTCTATTTTATACATGCTGTCATTTAGAGGTAAATATACTTTTCAGATGCCAAGTGAAGGAGACATGAAGAACTTCTTGCCTGTGCTATTACTATACATCCTGATAAAACTAATTCTTGTACCCTTTTAAATCCAGCTGAAATACTATCCTATACAAACATGTTGCTTTTTTGTCTGTGCTTAAGTTTAAACTGAAGGTGATCCAAGAAGAGATGAATAATGAATCACATAGTAAACACTTTGACCCCTTTTTACTTTCATTTTTTTCTGCAGCAATATTATCTTGATCCCTTTGGACACTTTGAAACTGAAAAATGTAACATTATAGCAAGATAGGCAATCCCATCCATGCAGTATGTTTCTCTTACAATTTAGTTCCCAAAGTATTTCCAATTTACCCTTTAGAGAGTCTCCTTAAGTAGATCTCCTTTGAAGATCTTTGAAGGCCCAATACTATTTTTTCTTTAAATTAATAGATGTTAGGGATAAATACTAATATTTTAAAAAACTTTTCTAGATAAAGAAAAATAAGTTAATACAAATTTTAGATTTAAACTTATAAAATCTTTTGGATATTTTTTTATATTCTTCAGTGTTTTGTCTTGGTATTACAACTGCTAAATTGGTCAACAGATGGCAACATCGCATTAGGCATGGAATATGACTGTGTGAAGATCAGAACACTGTGAGAACAGTTGCGCAATAGAGACTCTAGAGAGTATGAGACAGATTATTAACAAATTTAGTACAAATCAAAGAAAAAGTAGTAGTGGCTAGTATGTAAATTATTTAAGGTAAATGTTGTAGTCTTTGGTAAAGCAGTGCTTAGAACACGTAGTCAAAATGCCAGATCACTTAAAATTTTCCAGGCACATCAAACCATGAGCTAGGGGGAAAATGCAAAACCAAATAAATAAGTAAATGCAAATGACATTGGAATCATGATTACAATGTTTAGAAAAATACTTATGCCTGATGTTTACTGGCTTTTAAAAAGGTTATATTTAATTCTGTTTGCAAATTGAGTTACCTCTTTGCTTTTCTGTATAAACAGGCACTAATATCATGCGTTTACTCCAGCTGACAGTAAAATGGTGTCTTTAAAACAATAGTGGACTGTTTGTGCAATAATCAGTTTACTAAATCATTGATTAAACTCTGCTGGTAGAGAGTTATAAATTATTTTCTTTAAAGCCAGTAAGCATGGAAACTTCGTGTCAATATGTCTGATTTTAGGCATGCTGCCTTTTGCTAGAAAGGGTCTGGACAAATGCAGATTGCCCTGAGAGAAAGCTGTCTGTCAACACTACTTCAAGCTGCACATTTGTGTGCTTGCTGAAGACCTGATTCAAGTAAATCTTCATTTTTGCTTATATTTCTTTTCATTTTTATGTACAGCTGGCTGCATACTTAAGACTGAATTTTATGCTGATGTAAACAGTATTATTTTTTATTTCCCAGCTATGTTGAAATCTGCAGCAGCACAAAACCAGTGCTATTTTGATACTACTGAGAGGAGAGTTGTTACTGCTCCCTCAACAGTGGTTCTGACACTGCAGTTTTCATTTCTCAGCACTGTATCTACACAATATTGGAGAATGCGTTAAATTCCTCTCTTCAGAAAAAAAAATACTTACATAGCTAAAAATGTGATGAAGCCTAAACATTTGCTTTCATAGACAACAAAAATCAAAGAGGAATTTATGCAGAATTTGTTTTCTAGCTTTGTTGTTAAAAATTAACAAAAGAGCAGCTGTACCACGTAGACCAAATGTCTACTTTGTCTCCAGTAATGGCCAAAAATTGATGCCTTGGGAAGATTATTTTTGTTGTTTATTTTGTCATAGCTCACTCTGTTCCTATAAACTCCATGTTGTAGGGACAGAACATTCAGTGTTGCATAGATATGGGAGGAATTCTGTTAGAAAATTGCTTTTCCCTTTCAGTCACTGTTTCACCTAATTTAACATGAAAGTGGGACTCTCGGGGATGAAGCATTCATCCCTGCTCCTTCTCTTAGGGGAGCTGGCCACTCTTACACTTGCATTGATTCTTTCAGTCAGCAAGAGCAATTGCCCTTTCCTCTTCAACAGAACGTGTTTCAGCTCTGTGACTTAAGTGCTACAAATGGCATTGCCACAGCTAAAAGTCCTTGTGTAAATATTTTTGTATTTCTAGAGTATTTGAAGAAAAAAAAAAGAACAAAAAACAAACACAAAACTTTGTTAGATTTCCTATACTTACTGGGATAGATTAGCAAAAGATCTTTCACATGGCCTGGTTTTGAGGTGATTAAAGGGAGAAGGAACTTACAAGGCTAAGGCATGGTTGCATGTCTGGGAGTCTTGGTGATCTGTGACCCAGCTAGTATCCATTTCTGCTAGTAAGTGAGCCTTAGCGGTTGGAGCTGTTTAACAAAGAGAAGCTGGCCTGGATTCATGCAAAGTGCAGTCTGGGAATAAGTAGAGAATTCTATTTAATGCTATGTCTGCTTGCAGGAACATAAACAGGGCTGGAAACACTCCTGACACATCCAGAAATAAAAATTATTAGTCACTTTGATTTCATCTCCTGCTGTATTCATACTATAGTTACTGCTATGGGCTAATAGCATATAAGATGGTTAATTTGTCTTAGTCAAAACACTTCGCAAATCACTTAACCCTTTCAGATGTAGACAAACGCTAAAGAGATGTAATAGTAACTTCAGAGACAGGGTCACCTTAGCTTTCACACACAAAAAGTTTATGTACCTGTCAGCAAGCGTTTTGTTGCAGATTTACTTGGTTTTGCTCAACCAAGCTTCCAAGTCTCACGTGACTGGTGTATTTTAGTTCTGAACAGTCTTGTGTCTGCACATAGCTTGAAGCTGCTGGGGCTTTTCCCCAGAAGAAAAGTCAGTGATTTGGCATGTGCCCCATCTAACAACCTGAGATGAGATCCGCAAGAGGAGACAGATGCTCAGTTTCCACCATCCCTGTTTGCTGTAACCCTGACCAGACTTCTTACAAACATGCTACCCATGTGTCTTTTCCTGATCTGTGCTTCAGGTAGAGCATCCCGAAAAGGTACAGCTGTCAGATCTCAACTGGCAGTTCAGTGAAGGGCTTTCAGTGAGGTATTCTACCCATCACGGTAGCATTTACATGAATAACACAGTAAGAGAAACATCCTGTAAAAAGCTCATTTATCGTCTTAAGTAATTTAAGCAACTTTGATATTTGATACCTTATGTCTATCAATGTTAGACTCAAAATATTTCAAAGCCTTGATGTAGCTATGTAGCTAAATTTTTATATGTCATATCATCCTGTATATTCTGCAAAGAATTTAGGTCTGTATTTAATTAAATAAGCTTGTTACTGCTTTCTTTCTCTACCATAACCAAAACTTTTAGGTTTGTGTATAATAAATAATTAATTTTATATAATTTTGTCTTATTTTTATAAGAATCTCTGAAAATATTACATATCACTAACTTATAAAGTAATCCTTTTCCTATATTAATTACACTTGCATTTTAAGATAAATAAATCCAAAGATGTCTAATTACATTGGGCTTACTCGTTCAGCTATACTAAAACTCCTAAATTACATCCCATTACTACATTAACTTTGTGGTTTTACAAACTAATTAATTTTTTATTTTTTTAATTTTGGAACCCAGGACAAGTGGTAAAACTGGTAAATAATACTGGAATCAAAACTTGTGTGAAAATATAATTTCTTTTTCACTAATGGGTTATTTTTTGACAGACTTCCACCCCTCCCCCCTTAAGTCTTGTGAAACTTTTAATATATTTAGTGGAAATAATTGTTACATGTTTCATTTATGGGCCAAGGCCAACGGTATGAGGTTCAACACATCTCAGTGCTGGGTCCTGCACTTCGGTCACAGCAACCTCATGCAATGCCACAGGCCTGGGGGAGAGTAGCTGGAAAGCTGCTCAGTGGAAAAGGACCTGGGGGTGTTGGTTGACAGATGGCTGAACATGATCCAGCTCATGCCCAGGTGACCAAGAAGGCCAAGAGCATCCTGGCTTGTATCAGAAATAGTATAGCCACCAAGACTAGAGAAACGCCCGTTCCACTGTACTCAGCACTGGTGTGGCTCCACCTCGAATACTGTGTTCAGGTTTGGGCCCCTCACTACGAGAAGGCATTGAGGTGCTGGAGTTGGTCCAGAAAAGGGCAACGAGGCTGGTGAATGGTCCAGAGCACAAGTCTTACAAGGAACGGCTGAGGGAACTGAGGGTGTTCAGTCTGGAGAAAAGGAGGCTCTGGGGGGACCTTATCACTCTCTACAACTGCCTGAAAGGAGTTTTTAGTGAGGTGGGGTTGGTCTCTTCTCGCAAGTGACAAGTGACAGGACAAGAGGAAACGGCCTCAAGTTGCACCAGGGGAGATTTAGAGTGGATAACCGGAAATATTTCTTCAGCAAAAGGGTTGTTAAGCACTAGTACAGGCTCCTCAGAAAAGTGATGGAATCACCGTCCCTGGAGGTATTTAAAAAACATGTAGATGTGACACTTCAGGACATGGTTTAGTAGTGGACTTGGTAGTGTTAGGTTAGTGG